CTGCTCCCCCATTTCATATCCCTGATGTACTGCAGGGTCCAGACTCAGCCGCCGAATTGACGTTTCCTCGCTGGGCCACGTCTCGCTCTGATGTCTTTTCGGCTTCCCCGCTCCCCTCCCTCTGGCGGCCCCCTCCCTCTGGCGGCCCCCTCCCTCTGGCGGCCCCCTCCCTGTTTTCTCCGCCCAGGCCACGATTCGTCATGCAGTTTTGATGACTCGCAGGCAGTCGCACGGAGAATCAGCTCCGACGTGATTTTCTGTAGTTATTGTGTTGGTATCATATAGAGGTGGAAAGTTCAAGTCCAGAAAGTACAAATTCAGACCAAGATTTTGTTCCAATCAACCAGTACTCTGTAAATGTGACTCTGTACTCAACTGGTTGGTTGAAACACAATCTGGGTCTGAAATTGTACTTTCTGAACCTGAGTTTTCCACCTCTGGTTATCACCATTGTCTAAGGAGGCTTGATTACAGGCAGGAAGTTACTGTGGAGTTGTTTACATATCAATAAAATGAACATTTGATGATGCAGATCACAGTGAGATCTGATCTGAAGTCACAAATAAAGGACAGACACCGAGGACAGAAAAGGGTCTTTCCCTCCTTCTGCTCTTTCCTTCCTCTGCTCCTCACCCCTATCCTTCCCTGTCCATATCCCAGGTCGGGAAGTGGGAGAATGGATCGCTGAGCATGAAGTACCACGTGTGGCCTCGCTTTGAGCTGTACTCGGATGCCGAGGAGCGCCAGGATGACCACCTGTCCATCGTCACGCTGGAGGAGGCGCCCTTCGTCATCGTGGAGGATGTGGACCCGCTGAGTGGCACCTGCATGAGGAACACGGTGCCCTGCAGGAAACAGCTCAAATTCCAGTGAGAGTATATCCCGGTCCTGCCCTCCTCTGTATGCAGCTCTGTCCCTCCCACAGCCACACCCTCCTCCATCAGCCCCGCCCTGTATGCAGCTCTGTCCCTCCCACAGCCACACCCTCCTCCATCAGCCCCGCCCTGTATGCAGCTCTGTCCCTCTCACAGCCACACCCTCCTCCATCAGCCCCGCCCTGTATGCAGCTCTGTCCCTCTCACAGCCACACCCTCCTCCCTCAGCCATGCCCAGTCCTTCCCTCCATCTATAGCTACGCCCTCTTCTGATTTTCTCTGCTGCACCCCCAGACAACCAGTCCTCCATATTGTCATGATATGCCTTAGTATTAAAGTTATTTTGTTTGCCCCCCACATGACTGCTGAAAGCTTTGTTTCATCACCACATCCCCTCTCCTTCCCTCTTTGGCATCGCCCTCTCCTTCCTCCTCCCTTGCCCCTGTCCCCTTTCCATGTCCCCCTTTCCATGTCCCCCTTTCCATGTCCCCTTTCCATGTCCCCCTTTCCATCCCCTGCTTCGGTATCTCTGTCCCCTGCATTGACCCCTATAACCTTGCATAACGTGCTTTCCTGTATTTAAAGTCTGTGCTGTATAGTAAGTTATTCAGTTAAATACTGAATATTATTTTTGGGAGCTGCTGTCTATGTTTCTGAAATGCATGGCTTGTCTCATTGCTTCTGTTTTATAGGTCATGCACTTACATTGACACATCTTTGAACTAATATGTTATCCCTATTTTTGATTTGATATGGTCTTCTGGCTTCAGCAGCATCAGCACATCACTCAGCTCTCTGTGTCCCTGTACTCATCTCTTTGTTGATCTTTTTGACTCTGTACAGATTCTTCCCCCATTTCTTTCTTCCCCTCACCATCTGTCCTTCATACCTTTGTAGTTTTCTTTGTTCCCATCATCGACGTGTTCTTCTCTCTTTTTGCCTAGAACTTGCTCTCTGTCATGCTGTCATTCTCTTCACCTCCTATGGTCTCTATTGTTTTCTTGTACCAGGCTTGGCTTGGGGGCGGGGGGACTACGGTGGGTCTGGTCTGCCCAATCATGAGCTTGGTCCACCCCAAGGCTGGGAAAATGCCAGCCAATCACTGAATGATTTGATTATAGTAAAAGTTGCCATCACCAACCCAACATCTACACCAGGGCCTGACCTCCTCCTTTCAGCTATTGCTCCTCACATCCCTGCCCTCCTCCTCCTTCACGTCTGGATTCCTTGTGCAATGCCTCCTTCTCCATCTCTGGCCTCAGCGGCCCTAATGTTTCACTGCTCTCTATTCCTTACCCCATCTCCTTTCAGCAACCAGACCAAAGAATCCGGCATCTACATCAAGCGTTGCTGTAAGGGCTTCTGCATCGACATCCTCAAGAAGATCGCCAAGTCGGTCAAGTTTACCTACGACCTCTACCTGGTGACCAACGGCAAACATGGCAAGAAGATCAATGGCACATGGAACGGCATGGTTGGGGAGGTGCGTAGCTGTAATCCTCGTCTCATGTTGACGCACGCGATGTTTGTGGAGTCAAACTGCACCAGCTGCACCGAGAAGCCCAGTTTGTGGCATTTCCATTAATGACCTGTCTTTGGTGTGGTGGATTTCATCACCTTTTCATAGCTTCTCCGAATGGGCTGGACTGCTTAGGTTACCTCGGCAACATACAGTGCTCACAGAAAGTCTTGGGATACTTGCTTAATTCTGCAACAATGTCGCAGATTTTTTGGTTTCATAACAAAAGTCCATTGTCGAGCAATGTTTAAGATATCTGCACCAATCTTCCACATGGACAGTTTCTTTTTATTAAGTGTCATTTTTTTGACTGACTCATTCAGTCCTGTTCTTGCCATTTTGCTATTAATTGCAGTTGTAGTCATTGGCTCTCAAAGAGATACTAAACACAAATGTTAGGTGATGTATGTTATTGCGACAGTGTTACTAAGTTAAAAGAACCCAATGAAACTTTGTACTCAGAACAGCTCTTTTAGATCTAAAACTTGGGTTTCAATTTATTACTACTACAAAGGAATATTTATCTTAAAACTAGTGGTTGCTTCTAATATTATATATATTTTTGTAAACAAATGCATAAAGTAATGATGGTGAAAAAAACTATACATTTGCAATATTTTAATTGATTTAAGCAAGTGTCCCAAGATTTTCTGTAAGTGCTGTATAAACAAGCACTGCCCTGTCGAAATGTATGCAGCCGTTCCCTTCGAGCCACGAGCCTTAAGCCCCTTTAGGGTGCTGTAGTGTGCAGTTGGCCCCCAGGGGGTGTTGGCATGTGGCTCCGCCTCGCGGCTTTCCCTCCGTCATGCTACCTGCCGGCTTCCCCCTGACAAGGCATCTGGGTGACATCCAAATCACTGTTCAAATTAGATATATAATTTATTTTTTTTGTTTTCCCGGCAACCCCCATCGCCTGAAAGGCCAGTGTCTCTCACGCTGTTTAAATGTCAACCGTCGGCTCAGTAGGGGAATCTTCTCGCTCGAAAGACGGCAATTATGGTTGCCCCACATGCACGGTTGCTAGACAGAGGTCAGACGCAGTTGTCTCTCCCTTAGATACGTGGGTTATAACAAAACCTGTCGTCCATGTATTCCCAGGCAAGGAACGGACTGGGACATCTGCTTTTTTTTGGTTGTCACGCTTTAGCGTTTGTGCAGAACGGACTCCTAAGACCAGAAGGCTTGCTGTACTGTGTGTGAGGTGTCCATACAGCTGCCATGTTTAGGAACTTAACATCGTAATGCTGTGTTGCGCTGCGGTGTGAACGTTTCTGGTCAGTGCCACGTTACAGGGCAGGCTCGTGAAATCAGAGTGAGCGCCTAAATGTGCGGGCAGCCCATCGATTATGTCAGATCAGCCCCATCTGTAAGTTTCTGCTTTGTGTAATTTTATTAAAAGAGAGAAACAGGAAGTGACGGCTACTTGTGGCGGGGGGTGGTATCAGGGACGCGGGTGGGGGCGGAGACATTGGGGGGGACGGGAGCATGGACAATCAGGAGGGAGCGACACACGCAAATAGACACGCCAACACACTGCCAAATAATGAGCAGGACAGCGACACACGCAAACAGTCATGGCAACACACCGCCACATTATGAGCAGGACAGTGGCACACGCAAACAGACACGCCAACACACTGCCAAATAATGAGCAGGACAGCGACACACGCAAACAGTCATGGCAACACACCGCCACATTATGAGCAGGACATAGGCACACGCAAACAGACACGCCAAAACACCGCCAAATTATGAGCAGGACAGCGACACACAAAAACAGTCATGGCAACACGGCGCCAAATTATGAGCAGGACAGCGGCACACGCAAACAGACACGCCAACACGGCGCCAAATTATGAGCAGGACAGCGGCACACGCAAACAGACACGCCAA